AGATGAAACTAGCAAAAACATTCTAAAGGGAGTTTGATGAAGCTTATTCCGAGTAACCTCTAATTATAATTTTTCTAAGTTTTTTTTCTTTTTCCTTCTTCTGACTATCGACCTTGCACTCATCTTGTTGAGCAGAATAGAGTAGAGCGACCTTATACCATATTGAACCAAATCTTTTATGAGACAGAAATTATGCTGTTGGTGTTTGTCCTATTCATTTCAGGTGGTGAAGCTTTGACTCAAATAAGTCAACTTCCTTCCCATTGGGTAACCAGTGCCGACAATTGGAGTATGTCCGATCTTGTCTGTCTCGCAAATACCCCAAACTCTCCACAAAGTCTTATAGTCCGACTGCGTGCTTGCCTTGAGATTTGTGTGGAGCACATATACCAGTGTGTTCGCTGTCGAGCTCGTGGACACTTGTGTGAAGTCTGTCACTCGGGTCGCGTCCTCTTTCCCAATTTCGGCCAAGTGGATACTCGAGTGTGCTCAGACTGTGGGGCCTGTTTTCATCGTGCTTGTCTGGTGAAGCTACCCCATGAGAGTGGATCCGCAAAAGGGAAGGACTTCCATCCCGATCACCGCTCGTGTCCACGATGTGCTCGAATTCGACAGAGAATAGAACCGAAGGACGAATCGCCGTCGGATTCGTCGCAGTGATTTGTACATGCATTCTAAATTTTGAAATTTCCATCCACCTCAGATTTCCCCTGTTTGATTTTCTATATGCTGATTGATGTACGTATACATACACACACACACACGCGCGCGCGCGCACGTATATATACATACGCACATGTACTATCAATAGAAATGCAATGGTCATTTTTCTAATCATCTGGTGAGGGATATGATAAGGCAAAAAGTGACCAGTGCTTAAGTAGAAATGGAAGTTGTGCATTTGTCCATATATCTATGCCATAACAGCATCAAGACGCTGTAACGACAAATAGCACTCGCGAATTTAGCCATTACAGAGATTGTGTTTCAATTAACTAAATGATCTTTATTCTGGCCTATCACGAATAGCTCGTCTACCTACAACTAGGCAGCTGTATAAAAAGGAATAACTGTGAATCTTTGTCCTTGCCATGCATCACTCATCAGTTAAAATTGGGTCAATTTTTTATTTTATTTATTTAGAATGGCAGGCATTTTGATGTCATTAGCTCTTTAGCTGTCTTCAGGCTTCACAGAGGGGAAGGAACATCGAAGTGAAAAAGTCGAGAGAGGGAGGGAACAGAAGACTGTTTCAAAGATGTAAAAGAGACAGACAGACAAAGGCAGAGAATAGGTAAGATGCGTACTGTGGAAAGGGTCGAATATGACAAACATACAGTGGGGTGATGGTAGTTTGAAGTCAGAAGCCAACTGCCAGTCCATAGACTTGCCGTATGAGTATACGTTGCCCAGTGGGGTGATGGTAGTTTGAAGTCAGAAGCCAACTGCCAGTCCATAGACTTGCCGTATGAGTATACGTTGCCCAGGGTTAGAGAAATTTAATATAGATTTGCTTAGAGGGTTCGAAGCAAGTCGGTCAATGCAGAATTATTGATAACTCGTGATTTTCAACCGCTGTGTTTGATCATTTTTTCGCTAGATAAAACTATTAAAAAATGATAACAAGTAAAAAGAAATATCTATAAACTAAATCGACTCCAGGAAAACTGTTCTATCTTGAAAAGACATTTGATTGGAATGGCATGTGAAAGTTTCCTTCTCTATTGTAATCTGAGGTGATTAACGAGGTTTTGTTGGAATTATCGAGTTATGTGGGTGAGAATTTTTCGCAGTGAAAGCTGAAACCGGTGACAGATTTTGCATGGGTGTTTGCTTGTATCCTATCCGCCAATGAGCTTACATCCAATCGCAATTTCGGTGTGTATTGCGAATATTTCATCGTGATTGGATTTTTGATTTCAGAGGTTGTATTTTTAAATTAATTCATTGAAATCTCGTCATCAAGAAACCAAGTTTGGCTATGTGAAGATTAAGGATATGATGAATTACAATAAGCTGCTGACTTAAAAGTAGCCAACTGAATCCAGTCGGAATTCAGCAAAAACAAGGCTTTCGATTTTCTTACCTCGTTATTTGCTACCATTTTTTTCATTTCGTGTCTTCTGGTGTGATCCAGTAACAAAAAACTTTAGATTTTAATTCGTTATCACGGGTAATAAAATAATGTTTACTTGAAATGGTCAATAAACGATACTAAATACCAATTATTATTATTACATATTTACGCCTTAAGCAAATGAAATATTTATGTGATTTAATTGGCAGGCGTTTTGATAGCTGTCATTAGAACTTTAGATGACTTCGGACTTCACAGAGGAGAGGAACATCAAAATGGGAAAAATTCGAGAGAGGGAAAAGAAGAGTTATTCACAGATGTAAAATCGAGAGAGAGACACAAAGGCAGAGAAAGGTAAGATGAGTACTATGGAAGTGGTCGAATATGACATACAGTGGGGTCATGGTAGTTTGAAGGATGTCGAATATGACATACAGTGGGGTGATGGTAGTTTGAAGTTTCGAATATGACATACAGTGGGGTGATGGTAGTTTGAAGTGGAAGTAGACGAATATGACATACAGTGGGGTGATGGTAGTTTGAAGTCAACTGCCGGTTAATAGATTTTTTGCCGTATGGGTCTGTTGCCCAAATATGACATACAGTGGGGTCATGGTAGTTTGAAGTCAGAGGTCAACTGCCGGTTTATAGACTTTTTGCCGTGTTAGGGTTAGATCAACTGCCGGTTTATAGACTTTTTTGCCGTATGCGCATACACAATGACATACAGTGGGGTGATGGTAGTTTGAAGTGAGAAGTTGTGACATATAGTGGGGTGAGGGTAGTTTGAAGTCAGAAGTCCACTGCCGGTTTATAGACTTTTTGCCGTATGAGTATACTTTGTAACATACAGTGGGGTCATGGTAGTTTGAAGTCAGAAGTCAAGGCATACAGTGGGGTCATGGTAGTTTGAAGTCAGTGGTCAACTATACAGTGGGGTGATGGTAGTTTGAAGTGAGAAGTCAACTACCAGTCAATAGACTTTTTTCCGCATAAGTATACGTTGCCCAGGGTGCACCACATGGAGGTTGTAAGTACACGTTGCCCAGGGTGCACCACGTGGAGGTATGCCGTTTGAGTATACGTTGCCCAACGAATAATAGGCTTATTTGATGTATGCACCACGTGGAGGTATGTTGGCAAAATGGCAGTTTACGAATAGAGATGCATAATATAATAAATGAAAATTTCACGAATGCGAATTTAAACCTGTGTGCTCTGGATTTGTTCGAAATTGCTATCACAAGAAGTGAATTTTTAGCTAATTTTTTAATTTTTAGCAATGGCAGTGAAATTGTGAGCTTTAGGTTATGTTGCCAAAGGAGCGTAATTCAATTACACTATGTTATAGTTTTCCCCCCAAATCATTCTAAAACATAAAACGAATTACGCGCGTGAAAAAGGCGACAGTTAAGTTGGTTAGTTAAACAAATTTTTAAAAAAATAGTAACTAAATTGCGAGCTAAATAAAATCATAGCAAAGTCTCAAGTAATCTACTGATTAGCCGAATGTATAAGTGCTATCGATTGATTGAGCATAGCCAGTTTAATAAATACTACTCTTATTTCAGAAAAGTAGGAGATAAAAGTTGGGGGGGGGGTGGTATTCAATCTAAATCCTAAACCATTTAATCAATTTTGATTGATGATTTCAGCCGATTTTCCAAGAACACGTCGCTTATTTAAATTTGCCTTGGAGAGACGAGATCTTATTAGGATCCTCAATTATGACATTGCTTTGCTCAATCCGGTTCACATCAATTAAGGTTGCATGTTTGAGAGAGAAGGCGATTGGGACAGGTAAAAATATTGAAGAGATTAGTGGAAGTGGGTATGTCGAATGATCGCGTCTCAGTAGATGCTGCGTATTTCCTCTGTCCAGGCACAAGGAGATTATAACAGTGTCAATTACGGAAGGGGGAAGAGTGAATATGAGGAGTTAAAATATCCATCTCATCAAGGATTCCTTTCTGACCTGCTCACCATCAGAGAGTCTTTTGAGGAGTTACAATCACCTTAAAAAGGCTTTGATTTTGAATGCGCTACACACAAGGATCATATACCAACCGTGGTACTAATGACAAATTCTTCAAAATTTCGTTTTCACGTTGGAAGTCATGCGCCCTCCCCCAACTATCTCAGGGATACCGTAGAACAAGCTAAAATGGAGCCCAGCCACAAGTCATCGAACTGCGCAACACCACTTCAGGGCGTGTTAATATTCTTTGTGCAAAATTTCATCTATTCTAATTTCTGTTTTGATAATTAGGCCTCCAGTATTCTGAAGATAACTCCGGTCTCTCCACTTACCTCCCCATAGTTAGGAGTTCTCAGAATGTTATCCTCGGGAATTTGAAAGCAGTTCCTGTAGTATAAGGTGCATATAATATTTAAAACGAAAAAAATAGAATGCGAAATTCGGAAGTTCTGCTCTCATTAATTTCCTACCTTGGTGACCTTTTAGTGACCTCGGTAGTTTACCCACAACGAAACAATGAAATATGATAAACCGTAATGAGTATGTCGTGTACTCGTGATGGATAGGTAGACATCTTGATTCCTCTTCAAAAGATAAACTCACTATGTCATCTCTATCTTGATGCTAGTATTAATCGGCAAGGTTGATCTTTGCAAGTGTTCTTTGCCATCATTAAAATTACTTCATTTACGCACTCTTTCAAGGGCAAAACACTAACAAGACAAGATTAAATTCGAAATAATAGATTTTATTATTTACAGTTTGGACAAGTAAACGCACACACACACAGCTGTCTCAACGTCTTCCACCACGACCTCGACCACGTTTCCGTGCTGCAGCTCTGGCTTGACCCCTCAAATCCGATTTCATTCGTTTGTCTACCAATTTGACTTTTGCCCCCTTGCCCGGTTGCTGTTTAGTTGCCTTAGATCCTGACTTCGTGTTCACCACCAACGAAATTGGCCGACGCTTCTTCTTCAAGAGACCTGCTTTCTTGTACATTCTGAAGAGTTCAAATCAAATAGATTTAGTAAACACCAACGTGAGAGGTGCCAAGGACATGTGCTTTCAAATCTCAACTTACGCCTTGATTTTGCCCCAGGCTTCCTTCTCAGTCAAATCATCTGGAAGATTATCAGCTCTCCTTCGAACTGATTCCAACCGCTTCTTGGCCTTCATCTTTTTACGCGCTCTTGCTTCTTCGGCCTTTTTCAGCGTCTTACCCTGTACAGGTCTCGATTGGGAATACAGTCCGACCTAAGAGAAA